AGTTTAGAGCAGAAGTTACAGAACAAAGAATCCAGTGCCCCGTCCCCCGCATATTACCTTCACTGTACTTGGCTACATTTCCTACAAATAAATTTCAATTCTCCTTTTCTATTGTGTATATTAAAGGATTAAACCCCATGAAAAACAGAAAATTCTTCTTCTTCTAATATTCATTTCTGTTCTAGTTTTTACGAGAGAAGTCATGATTTATTACCAAATACATTCTCTTGTGTGTTACGGACAGAAAGTTCAGGAATTAGAGTTATAATTGTTTTACTTAAAGAAAAGCCCAAATGAGTACACCAAATTGTAGCTTAATTCAAATAGTACTGAATCCAATACTGCATCCAAAAGAGTCTGTTAGTATGTGTTACTCTGCTTGTTAAATGGACCAAGCGGTTATAGGAGAAAATGCAGAGCATTTAAACAATGGAAATATGCCATCTTGTGGTGAGGTGAGGAAATGCAGCAATTGTTCCGCAGTTGTAAATACTGTCTCTTCAGAGCATCATCTCTTCACATTAACTTTGCTACTCATGTGAATAGCCAATAACAACGTAAGTCCTATTTTTTCTATAACCCATTCACAACAATTTTGCTTGACAGATTATCCTTAAGTAACTTGCAGGGGCATTAAGATCTTCCTAAATTTGCCAAATCTTACTTTCTTGCTAAAATCAGTTCTCAAAAGATTTTCTCTATTTACCATGACCTAGGAGTTTTAAAAAGCATCAGACTGCACCAGAAGGCTCAAAGGCAACCCATGTGATGTTTAAAGAATACCTGAAGGGCACCTGGGTGGCTCAGTTGGTTGGGTGTCTGCCTTTCGGCTCAGTCCTGGGATGGAGTCCTGCATCTGGCTCCCTGCTCAGCTGGGAAACTGCTTCTCCTTCTCTCTCTCTGCCCGCCCCCCTCCCATCTCTCTGAAATAAATAAAATCTTTTAAAAATAAATGAATAAATAAATAAATACCTGAAGATCTAAGACTCTCCTGAATCATTTCATCCCCATCTATCCCTCTTTACCTGACATGGTGACAATAGCAGCTAACATTTATTGATTCCTGCATTTCTTTAATCTCTACATCCAACGTGGGGCTCGAACTCATGACCTGAAACCAAATCACATGCTCTATGGACTGAGCTAGCCAGGCTTTCTTAACAGCAGCAGACAACACTCATTGAACATTAAGTATGTATCAACTCAATCCTTGCAATAACCCTATGACATAAGAATGACTATCATCTTCCTCATTTAAATTAAAAAGGAATGGAGGCACAGAGAGGTTAATAAACACAATATTATGGTGAAGAAAAAGAGATCGTACACTTTGAAATGCACTACTTGTGATAGCACACAAATCAAAGTTTTTATTTTAAACCTTGAAAACCTATGTCATTTATATCCCCATATAAGCTAAATGTTATGAATTCCAGAGAACAGAGAAGCTTCAGGAAGATTTTTACTGAAGGCACTGGAACCAGAAGTTGCAGGTAAAATTACTTCAATGCAAGAACTTCAAAAACTCTCCTCTATTGACAGAATGCTAGTGGCTTTAGTAGAAGGACAAAGATTAATTATATTATAGTACTTATTGGTACTTAAACAGTACCAATGCTGACTTGGAACAAGCACTCACCTAGGTCATGAGGAAATGTGAAAAATTAAGAACAAAGCAACATCTTCATTACATTAAAGGACAGTTTTTGTTTTGTTTTTCCCTGAGTTGAGGTCTTGGTTTTCAAAGTGCATATTTAAAAAATGAAATGCTAGTGATAGTTGATAGCTACTCTACCCTGATCAGGAACATGATTCTCCCAGATGGTTTATATAATCTCATCTTGGGCTCAATGCCTTAGGCTCGATGGCTTTTAGCCACATGGCACACCTTCCTTCTTCTTCAAAGAAATTAAACTAAGATAGTCCTTATTGTCCCAGCAACTGAACTCTATGAATCTGCAAGTTATTACAAAAGATGATTTGAGACAGGAAAAGGAAGCTGTCAGGTTGTATAAAATTTCTATCCTTTTGCCCAGAAATTATCTGCTTGTTTTTTAATCAACATTTTTGTGTAATGTTCACTTGGTGCAACGTTCAAATCATCATGAAAGCAGCCAATGCTCCAGTGCTCCATTTCATTATCATCTTTGCTAGATATTACCATCAATTTTATCTTTTTCTTTTTACACTCAAAAAAGATAGTATGGCATGTATTCCACCTCCTCCTTCTTTCTTTTAATGGTAGATCTTGAGATCTTTCCATATGTAGTATGTACTTCTCATACTTGCTATGGCTGTATTCTTTCGTAACTTATCCCTCAACTCCTCCTCTATATTTAAGTCCTTTAAATCTTTTTATTTCAAACAATGTTGCATAATGACTTCTGAAAGTCATTTGCACAAGTATATTTCTCAAAATGGAATTTTGAATCAGATTTTTAATTTTTAAAAAAGATGTATGCATGAGCGAGAGCAGGGGGAAAGAGAGAGCACAGGGCTCTGTCTCACAGCCCTGAGATCATGACCTGAACCAAAACCTAGAGTCAGTCACTTAACTGACTTTGCCACCCAGGGCACTCCAGATTTACTTGTAATTTTGATATAGGATGTTAAATCATTATAGGTTATAGTGACTCTCACACTCTACTACAGCGTATGAGAATTTCCTCATCCCCTTGCCAACGTTTGTTTTTCAAATTTACAATAGGTTTTAAAAAAAAAGGTCAAAAAATTAAATTACCTTCATAGATTTTAATTCTGATTTCCTAAGTGGTTTAAGATCTTTCTGTATTTAAAGATTTTATTTATTTGACAGACCGAGATCACAAGTAGGCAGAGAGGCAGGCAGAGAGAGAGGAGGAAGCAGGGTCCCTGCTGAGCGGAGAGCCCGATGAGGGGCTCGATCCCAGGATCCTGGGATCATGACCTGAGCTGAAAGCAGAGGCTTTAACCCCCTCAGCCACCCAGGTGACCCAAGATCTTTCTGTATATAATAACTATTTTCTTTTCTTTCCCAGTATTCACATCCTTCATGCACTTTTTCAGTCTTTCTCTACTAGTTTCAGATATTAGCCTTTTTAACTGTGGCCAACTTGTAATTCTGCACACTGCCACCTGCCATGTCATTTCCCTCAACTTAAGAGCTATTTTGTTAGCCTCAATTTTTTTGTCAAATGTATCGTTTCTCCCGTAGTTTGGAGTCAGATTTTCTCTACTCCCAATTACTCTTTTAAGTCTCTTAAACAGTTTCTAGTACTTAGGGTCTCATTTTCTTTGCAATTTAAATTTTTCTAGTGGAAGGTATGAAACTTTTCCCATTTGACTACCCATCATCCCAACACTCCTTTAGGAATAACCCTTTTCTTCCCTCACCAATCTGAAATGTTTATCCATTATTAATTTCCAAATGTACTGGTATTTACCTAGTTACTCTGATCTTTTCTCATTAAACACCAGAACTTCTCTACACTTTCTAGAAATTGTTATTGCTATTGTAAACAGAGCCTTTGGTCTTTCCACAGCTGTTTGGAGGTTGTACCAAGTCACTTGGGCTGAATGTGCATGTTTCACAATTCTCTTGAAGCTTCAGTTACATATAATGCTACTTGTAAATAGGAAAACAAAAGGTAAACATGCCCAAGGAGGTTCATTACAGTACTGAAACAGATGTTTGGTGTTTCTTTACAATAGAACAGTAATACACAGCAGCTAAAATGAACTACCACTTGCTCAGCGGTGTAAATCACAATATAAGAACCAAGTTACAGAAGTATATGTACGTGATACTTTCTGTGTTTCACGAACACTAAACACATTACCTTAGTCCCTTAACGAAGGACTGAGTTAATACCTAATGTCATCAAGGCTCAGATGCTGGATTTGCAGCAAGAGTAAAATCATGGATAAAATATCCACGAACTTCAGAGAAACAGAAAGGAGAGTTAAATGGCAAAGTGCATAAAGATGTTTCATACTGGTATAATATATTTAAAGGAAAAAAAAAAAAAACACTTGAAGGAAATACGGCAAAAGTGAAAAAAGGTGTTAAATCTGAATCAGTCCATGGCTGTTCCTTACCTAAATCGGGTGCTTCTGTGAATGTCTGAAGTATTTCTCAACACAGGGGCTTACAGAGAAACACCTTCCACATCATCTTCTAGAATTTTATGATTTTTATTTCAAAACAATCGCTTTAGGTCTGGCAAAAAGGTAATTTCACTCATTTTGACAAGTTCCTAAAACATTATTTTTTCTGTTGCATATTCTAGAGTAAGTATAAATTACCCGCTTGTCTGCTCTCTACCACTAGAATGTAGGCTGTGGCTGCAGGTGTTCTTCCATTACCTTCAGTTGGATATCCAAGGCATTAAAATGAACAAATACTCAATAAACAGAAAAATAAACCGTTTATTTCCTTGGTCTGGAAGCTTGTGTGCAATAGTGGAACCCGAATGCTATGCAAAATGCAGTAAAAGGACCAGGTTTTGTCTAAATAGGTTTTATTTTAGACAGAGTTAATTAATATGAATACAGGAAAATTCTGGTCAAACACAACCATACAATTCCTTTTCTACTTCGTACATAGTGGGGTTGGCAACGAAGTCACATACTGTTCAGTATGGAAGACAGTTTCCCTCTCTGATTAGGTTTTCTTCTTTCAATTCAGAATTTTCATTTCCAGTTTTTGGGAATCTTTGGTTCAGCTCAAATATAATTCCTGATTTCAACCGCATAGCTTATATTATTAATTTAGAGATAAATTACTATAAAGAGGTGCCAATCTTCACTGGTGACTGGCCAAACTATAAAAACCAAGACAGCAGAACTGCTATTGCATTAAGAAATAAGTATTGTAAAATACTCTTTCCTGAACAGTAAATGGATAACCTTGAAGTTGTAATCAGTTATCTTTAACTCCTAATGTATCCTAATTGTACAGAAAGTCATGGTATTAGCCCCCCAAAAAGGATTTCATGTTGTAATAAACAGACAAAAGACAATCCAAGTACAATTTTTTAATAAAGATAATTACAAAAGATGGAAAAAATCAGCTCAGAAAGGCCAATTACTTCTTTAATAGATCAGTTTTTGACATAATAACTCACATCAATTTTAAATACTATCACATAAAGCATGGTGGAGAAAAGAAATTTTGCTTCATAATTAGAAAACTCACAATAAAACTTGCCAAGAAAAAAAACAAAACAAAAAAAAAGCCATTTTGAAAATAAATACAGTCCATGCCAAAGTAGTATAAAATGAAGCCAGAAGTCTTCAAAAAGAAAAAATTTTTCTTCCCAATATTTTCTTTTATGGTTTCTGAAATTGGTGAGACACTCAAATTCAAGGGTTGCTGAGCTGTTCTGATTTGGCTCTGTTAAAAGAGGCAACATAGAGTATTAGGGTTGTATAGGGTCATGCCCAGAAACACATAATGCCTTGTTTTTGGGGTACTGACTCCCTTAATCTTTGCAGTGATTTTTAGAATCTATTCCAAGTTATCCTATAGAGGCTGGCACAAAATTATACGTGGTCAAGTATTTATATGCTTTATGATTATAAAAACCTCAATTATGATTTTGCTAAACATAACTGCATTATGAATTGTGTTATGCTAGCCCCATGTTTAAATTTATCTACCTCCCAACACTGAAAAATTTCATATATGGAAATTAAAAGAACCATGAAAAGATCACATGAAGTTACTAGCAAAGGGTCTCAAATACATTACGTATAAGAGTACAAACTAATTTATGTTGAGTTATACAGTATTATTATAGTCTTTATCATTTTTTAAGGCAAGCTACATAAGTAACAGATGAACAAATAAACTGGATGGTTAAGATGGCATAGATTACCTTATCCACAAATATGGACGAAAATTTAGAGCGCCTCATACAACTTACTGATGCTCTTAAGCAAGTTCAGTCCAGCACTTCCCAAAATACACACCCAAAGTAAATGTATTTATTATTTTTATAGTATATAAAAATCACTAGATAAGGAATACAATTTACCCTTTGGTATCTGTTTTTTCACCACTATTGTCCTTAGATTTATCTTCTTCCTTAACATCTAAAAACAAAAATTGGGAAGAGTTTAAAGCCTATTTTAAAATACAAAAATATATACATCTAAAAATATACTTTCCTTACAATATAAAAAGCTGTCATATACAAACAGTATTCATGAATTCAGTAACTACAGAAGCTTCGCTAGGTTCAAGGGTCAATGTAACAACCCAGGTCCTGCCCCTTTGAAGTTCTGTTTCACTCAGACTGCAGTATTACAGCTGGGCTTGTGCTGTGGAGAAGTTCAGCCTACAGACATAGGCACAGCACTGAGGGAGGCTGGGAAAGGCTATTACAGAGAGAGACATCGGAGAGGTGTCCTAAAAATGAATAGCTTTTGGGTGGGAAAAGGGATTAAGCATCCTGAACAGAAGGAAAACTTAAAAGGACTTTGAGGCAAGAAAGAATTTTGTTAAAAGATTTTATTTATTTATTCATGAGAGCGAGAGAAAGAGGGAGGGAGGCATTTGGAGATCCTGGAATCATGACCTAAGCCAAAGGCAGACGCTCAACAGAGACTGAACCACCCAGACACCCCAAAACAGAATAAACAAATTAGGAGGAAGAACTGAAGGACCACTGGAAACAACATACTGTGAGAAGACAGGAGAAGTAGGTAAGATAAGCTCAGAGGCACAGTAGAGGCTAAATCCTACTGCTTCCACCATTCACTTTTAACCCTCACTGTATGTCCTGAAACTTTACAATTCTAATAAAAATCAATAAAATAGTGATATTAACACTACAAACTCAAGACTACTAAAACAAATTAGCCCAAATGTGCTGAATTTCTTCAAAGCAGGATAGGAACCAAAGTTCTGAAGCAATGACCTGACAATAAAGATACCTGATTAAAAAACATTGTTATTAAGCATGCTACACAGACATTTCAGGGGACTGCTCTGACAATACAAACGTGTGTGACAATAAGGATACTATGACTTTTTTTGGACTACTGCCTTAACTTGGGATATGTAAACTTAGTAATTCAAAGTACCAAAATGGAACTGAGAAGTGGAGGAAGAAAAAAGAAATAGCCCCAACTTTAGGTTTTGATTTATAGATTTTAAAAAAGTTTTCTGTAGTAATATTTATGTGTAAGACAAGGCAATTTAAAACAAATGGAAGACCTTATAAGAAGCGCCCCACCATAAAACAAATTTTTAAAAATTATCATTATCAGCAGTAAAAGTTTTGAGGAACCAAACACTAAGAGATTAATCCACTACAAGGTCATTAAGCCAAATCAAAAGATACTCTCATTTTTAGCTAGAAGCACAATGAAGACAAGAAGCACCCTAGTGAAGGTGCTTTCCCATTTGAGGGGAAAAAAAAGCACAAAATAGCTAAAGATTTTTAAAATGAGAAGAAACTTCAAAAGTGACAATAGTATGCACTGATGGTGAAAGAATGAAAAATACTAGAAAAACAATACAGCTAAAGCTAAGCCCTCCTTACCTCAAACGTACGTGGATGTCAGTCGGTACGTAAGAGCAGACTGGAGCCATCATTGTGATACATTCAAACTTAGAGTTTTAAAAGTTAGAGAATGGTAGGTGCCTACAGAGGAGTGAATCACGAGTAAAAGAATCGAACTGCAAGTGTCAGATGTGCTGGGGAATCTAACCTCTCTAGTAAGAAAAAAAAAAAAAAAAAGAACATGACAGCCAGCTTACTCATGAAACTGCAGTGTTGACAGATTTAAGGAAAAGGATGCTGGCCAAGTATGTCTATCAGTTTTCCACATGCAATAGGGTCAAAATTAACAGTCAACTAAAACTCAAGTTCATCACCATTACTTGTATACAGGTATCAGGTATCTGGTATCCATTCCGTCAAGGAATGCACCAATGTTAAGAACATATTTAAGTTACTGTGTTCCCTAGCCACGAGCAGCTCAACCTAGCATGGAAGTACATAAAATCCTATTATGAGGCATTATAATGTATGTTAAATAAAATGACCAAGGTATGTATAAGTACTCTGGGAACTGAGATAAGAGATAAGAGATTCTGGTAGTAAATTTACTGCCTAAGGCATCATTTCGTCAAAAGATAAGCTACCGGCATTTTTAAGTTATGGCATCAAAGTATTCTACCTCCCCCTCCAACCCAGCTTCCACCCTCCTATCTTTCCTCAGAGTTATGTTTTCATCATATTTTCATCAAATTTCTGAGCAAAGTGTACTCTCTCTCAGCTTTTTCACAATGTTGAAACTAGTCTAAGGATAACTCTTTTTGTGTGTCTTATTCCTATCAAATAAACGTTAGGTGGTTAAAAATGACCTTAGAATCTGAGCTCTGCTCAGGGACGACCAATGCATGGGTCACCACTTTGTCTTTACCCAGTCTGTACCCCACAGTGTGACGTCTGCTGCTCTACGCCTGTGTCAGCAAGAGGCAGTAAGGTTTCCTATACTATAAGACCAAATGTGACTAGTAACATTAACAGAGCAGGTAAGGTAAGCCCCTTTACCACATGGAAAAAAGTCATAATCACCCTTTAATACTTGCACAATTGACTTCAGGATTTCATTAAAAAATTGCAGTGAAGCTCATTTTAAAAACTTACAATTAAAATACTTTTACCGAAAAATAAATCTGACCTGCTTTTTTGTCCTCAGTTTCTTTCTTGTCTTCTTCAATTCTAGCTTTCTTTGCTCCTTTCTTATGATCAGCCACATTTCTACGTCCTCCTTCTCCTTCATCCTCAGAATCTGAGAATTCTTCATCACAAGCTATTCGTTTGTCTGATGCTCTAACTGATTATATAAAAATGTTAATGGAAGTTGACAAGGCAGTCAGTCACAGGTTTTATAATTGTTGTAACACACTCATATACAAATGTACCAACCAATTTCCACATCTCAAAGTACAGGATAACAGATGCTTAATAATCCTAAGATTAGAACTAAATGCATGGTTTGTTCAGTAATGAAAATTTAGATTTGATCTAGGAAGAAGTAATTCAAAGAAACATGAAAAACACTTGGGGAGCTCACCAAAAAAAAATTTGGAGGGAAAAACTATGTTTTACTAATAGGAAGGGGGGGATACTAAAGAGTGACCATTTATTTCAGAGCTAAAAGGAGATGTAGACAGTAACATTAAAAATATCATTAATGCCAAGTATGTTAGAAGGTCTACACCACAACATATACCATACTTAGCAACCAATATTAGTGGAATGAGAGACAAGAGAATCAAACAGAAGGTGCTTAATGTTACTGAACTCATTCTCATTTGGATAAATGGCATAATTTTCCAATTCATTCCCAAATACCAGTGCAGAGTCCAATGTGGGGCTCGATCTCATGACCCTGAAATCATGACCTGAGCCATTATCAAGAGTCAGACGCTTAGCCGACTGAGGAACCTAGGTGCTCCTTGATCGTATATATAGTCACAGGAACTAAAACACTGACACTTAAATGAGGCTTTAAGATACAAGAGGGGTGCCTGGGTGGCTCAGTCGGTTAAGTGTCTGTCTCTGGATCAGGTCATGATCCCAGGGTCCTGGGATTGAACCCCGCATTAGGCTCCCTGCTCTGTGAGGAGCCTGCTTCTCCCTCTCCCTCTGCCTGCTGCTCCCCCTGCTTGTGCTCTCTCCTAACAACAAAACAAAACAAAACAAAACAAAGTCAAATCTATGTAAGATTAAAAATGGGAAAAAAGGACAACAATAGTGTCCTCCTGAAACGTGACCCATAGTGAAGTTCTTGGACCACCAAAACCTTTAATTTGTAGTGCTATTTTTAACAAATCAGAAGAATGTAACAGTACACATCAAGGCATTATCTTACTAGAAATTCTCTTGTCTGGGTCTTCTCCATCTTCATCTCCACTGTCTTCATGAACAGCATCTTCTGGAATAGCTTGCATCTGGACGCCAGGTGCATGAGGTAACATGCGTAAATTTTCAAATAAACGCTGTCTAAATTACATATGCGAATTTGTTAGACACAATTCCATTTTTCAAGTTTCTCTTAAATGTAAGAGGAAACATTAAGCAAAAATTTCATCATTTATCTGACTTAACCGTTGAGTTAAAATAATAACATAAAAGCAAGATACTTCACAGACTATCATTAACTCACCTAATACTCAAAATTTTCAACATAGGTACCATTTCATCCCTCATTTCAATGGTGAAAAAATGTAAGCCTAAAGGCAAAGTAAACTGCCAAATGTCACAGACCTAGTTGTGTCTCAGAGAGGACACAAACTTGGGTCTGTGTACAATAGCCCTCTAAACACTTTGCTCTTGGAGTTAAAGTTTACCAAAATGTTTCGAAAAGGAAAATTTCACTTTCAAGTAAGGCAAGAAAGTATACAATTTACAGTGCCCTTAGAAATTTAAAAATCCATCTTAAAAGAAAATGGAAGTATTTTTGAGCTATGAAGCACATACATTTTCATTATCTCAGAAAAAAATAACCAGTGATCTTAAGGTTTCAATGCTTTTGAAAAAGACAAAGGAAATATCTGATATATAAAAATAAAAATAAAAAGTTTATCAAATCAATTCAATGATCTCTTACTTTATCTTTTCCATATATTCTGGAGTGTTCTGGTTTGTCATGTTTGAAGGACTAATATGCAGTTTGAAGTCCGGGCCAAAATACTCAAAGTAATCATTATACGGCAATTCTATTAAAAACAATGAAATAAAGCAACATATTAAAAGCTCAATTTCACACAAACCCATGCACAAAATCCAGATTCAAGCTGTGAAAGTCCCTAAGAAAACTTTTAAGAGTGACCGCTCTCCTACTTACATGGTTTGGAATCGACTCTAATCATTCATCCGTCCACTTATATACATTGACAGTTTCGTACCATACAGACATCACAATATGACCACTTACCGTTGGGAATCTCACAATCAAGGGCAACTGCAGTCTCGTAAGTCCAACACCGAGCAACATTACGAATTGTGTATCCACCTCCCCCAAGCATCAGTAATGGTAAATTAAAAGTTTTCACAACTTCTACACATTTAGCATGACCTGAGACAAAAAAAAGATTTGGGTAACAACAAATCTATATATTCTGACAGTTTGACAAGTAAGTTTTAAAAAGATAATGGATGCAAACAATAAGTTTTACTCAACCAAAATGGCTTTTCTAAGTATTTAAAGAGTATGTAAAAATTTCAAGAAATTTCTAGTCCAAAATTTTTATTTAAATATCTTTCACACAATGATATATAGAACACAGTAAGATATAAGTGGCTATTTTAACAAGAGTCCCTAACAGAAAAGTGAATTATACAACTAAATTAACGTAAGAAATATGACAGAACACCTATTTTTATTAACATAGGAAGACATTATGTGGTATGAAGATTCTATGTTGATGTGACATTACATGGGGGAAAAAAGGTTATAATGAAACATGAACAATCATAGGGTGCCTGGGTGGCTGAATTGTTAAGTGTCTGCCTTCAGCTCAGGGTCATGATCCCGGGGTCCTGGGATCGAGCCCTGCATCAGCTCCCTGTTCAGTGGGAAGCCTGGTTCTCCCTCTCCCAGTCAAGTAAATAAATAAAATCTTTAAAGAACCATGAACAGGGTGCCTGGGTGGCTCAGTGGGTTAAACCTCTGCCTTCGGCTTGGGTCACGGTCTCAGGGTCCTGGGATCGAGTCCCGCATCATCAGGCTCTCTGCTCAGCGGGGAGCCTGCTTCCCTTCCCCTCTCTCTGCCTGCCTCTCTGCCTGCTTGTGATCTCTGTCAAATAAATAAATAAAATCTTAAAAAAAGAAAAACCCATGCAACAATCTAAATTTTACCACTTTTCCATATAAACGTAATGCAGACAAATCATGAAAAGCTATACAACAAAGTTTAACTGTAAGTTATCTTCAGGTAGCAGTACTAGGAATAATTTTCTTAATTTAAGATTATAAAATTACTCTCTATTGCTATTAAAAAATACTTCAACAAATATCTATGTGTAAAAATTTAAATGGAAAGTAAACCCAATATAAAAACAAAATATTTTCTTTGGATAAATGTAAAATGTATCTATCATTCAGGCATACAAATCAATCTTTAAAGAAAAACACCCTTCAATTATAGAAGAAATCCATGCTTACTTAAGAATATTTGGAAAAAATTTAAAGAAGTACAAAGACGAAACTGTTTAAAACGCCATTATCCAAAGATAGTTTTTAAAGTATTTCATTGCAATTCCTTCTGACTTAGTAAGATTTAATGATTTTTTTCATGTAATTGTATATTTGTGAGCATTTCCATTGAGTATTCAACAGTTGCAATATAAAATTCATAACCCAATTTCTATTATTGCTACTAGAAAAACATGAGCTTCTTATAATAGATTAAAAAAACCACTTTAGTACTTTTATTTTTTTAAGATTTTTAAAAAAATTTATTTATTTGACAGGAAGAGAGACTCAAGGAGGGGGAGTTGGAGAGGGAGAAGCAGGCTTCCTGCCGAATGGAGAGCCCGATGTGGGGCTCAATCCCAGGGCCCTGGGATCATGACCTGAGCCAAAGGCAGAGGCTTAACGACTGAGCCACCCAGGCGCCCCAGACTTTAGTATTTTTAAAGACAAAATAAAAAGTTAACTCATAGACTTCTGAGTAAAGACAGCTAGCTGGCTAAACAAAAACACTTTTCCTTCTCCTTAAAACCTGATAAAAATGACTAATGGTATTTTTTAAGGGATAAAACCAAAACCTATAAAAAAATGAAGAATGGCAGAGAACACATAGTAACAACATAAAGTAAGATAGAAAAGAGATGGACAAGAGGTTAACGGACTTTAAAAGACCTGAGAAATCTAAATTGAAGCTGGCAATGGAGAAAACTTAGAATCAAGTTTAAGAACTGGGATTGAAAATATCCTTAGCGCTTTATATAACTGAAATTCTAACAGCAGAAATGTAAATTACTATAAAAGTAAAATACTACAGTTTATGATTATGAATGTTAAAACTTTTAAGTATGAAAACAAAGCATTTTCGAAGTGCTAGGACATGAAAACGGACTGTTAATACCCCTTTTGTACATTAGGAAGATCATATCCATTTGGAAGCGAACAGATGGTTATCAACACATTAAGTTCAACAATACGAAACTATTTGACCACTATTGACCTACCAAGAAAAGGGGCAATCAAGTTTGTATGGTTCAACCTAATAAAAGTAGAACAGATTGTACCATTAATTCTAAAGCTAACTGGTATAGAAGCAATCATAACATTAAATAAAAGACTTTAATATCTAGAATTAGGTATTTAATTCCATTTAAGCCAAGTCATTTTTAAAAAGTTCTGTTTGAGAATTCTTCACATCTTAAGAGGCAATTCAATGCAAGAACATCCATTTGTCAACTGAAGATTCAGAAGGAAAACTACAAAATCATGTACAATATTCATCATTACTGATCCCCATATAATAAATTTTAAGAACTTGTTAAATAAAATTTAGGATTTATTCTTACACCCAAGAAGTTCATTCCATGACGGTGAACTTTCACTTTGGTCTGGACTTAAGTTGCATGTTAATTTCAACAATGGATCAAATTTAAGTTTTGGTGCTATCCTCCTAATCCCCCACACATCTTTTCTCAGAAAACTACCTGAGAATGTGCTCTAACAAAATAAGACAAAAATTTAGGGAAGACAGAGGAAAGAGCAATGGGGGAGGGGAGGCATATAAAAGAGAAACGAAGAGCGCTTTTCCCACCAAGTCTATAGGATACTTGTCTAAACAGTAACAGCACAGAAGGTTATTCTTCAAAAAGGTAAAAATGATGGAATACTTGATGCAACTGAACATTTGAAGCTATTTGGATAATGGTGATTTAATAATGAGTAAAGAGAAAACTAGAAATGAGGCAAGAAAAATATATTTATAAAAAATAAAAAAAAATTAATAAAAAAAATGAGGCAAGAAAAACAAGTTATACAATAAAAGATCTGATAAGCTGAAAAGTGCTTTAATGTTGATGATGCTGTAAACACTGAATGCCACACCAAAATTCTAGTATAATTACCAGATTTAAGCAATAAAAATGAAGATACCGGAAGGGTGTACTCAAGTATTGGGGACAAAGTGGTGAAAAAGAGCTAAATCCCTCTTCTTCCATGACAGGAACTGAATATACAAAGCGAAAATTGAAAGTAACAGAGTTTGGGACACCTGGCTGGCTCAGTTGAAGGAGCATGCAACTTTTTTTTTTTTTTTTGAAGATTTTATTTATTTATTTGAGAGAGAACATGAACTGGGGGAGGAGGAGAATCTCAAGCAGACTCCGTGCTGAGTACAGAGCCCAGCGCAGGGCTCTGTCCCAGGACTGAGATCACGAGCTGAGCTGAAATCCAGAGTGACATGCTTAACCTCCTGAGCCAGACAGACGCCCTGAGAAACATGCAACTCTTGATCTCGGGGTTTTGAGTTTGAGCCCTATACGCTGGGAACAGAGATTAAAAGTAAAATAAAAACAAAGTTAGTTTGCATGTTATTTGGAGAAAGATAAACACCCAAAGGAGCAACAAAAAAACAATGAAAATGGCTGCCTTGGCTGGGACTGCAAGAAGCTTTATGACACTCTTCCCGTATGAATTCAACAACAAAATAAAAAAAACCTAATTAACTGAAACAGCATTCCAAATGCATATATACATCCGGCAAAAACCAATGAAAAATACAAAATGTGTGATTCTGTGTTAATATAGTAGAGGCAAAAAATTATAATGATTAACTTTAATGGGAAGTTCTCAGAGAGGGAAAAAAAAAAAAAAAAAGAAAACCCGTTCCTGGGACTATCACCCATTAAACCACTTACCTTTGACTGTCAGATTGAAGCAACCAAGCCTATCACCAGAGAGTGAGTCTGCACCACACTGTAGCACCACAGCACTGGGCTGATACATCTCCATCACCTTTGAGATAATCTATGTACAAGACAACAAATGTTAATACCTGTAAAATTATTTCACAAAACTCCATTTTGATTTTGAAAATAAAAATACTTACAGGCTTAAATATCTGCCCATAGGACTCATCATCTATACCGTCTCTCATTGGAAAATTGACAGCATAGTATTTGCCTTTTCCTGCACCAATATCCTAAAATACACAATTAAACAGCTCTTAGAGACTGTTTCATAGTAAAAATGCCTGACATGCTTATTAAGGAATTTTTTACAAGATTTTTAAAAAACTAGGCAACAATATCCAATTCTGAATTCATCTTTTAATTTAAATACAGGAGCAAGTATAAATTCCATTATTAATGGATTGTTTTATTAAGCTAAACAGAACCAATTCCAAATAATCTGTAATAGCTATTTTGGGGAGAAAGAAATTTAACAATTAAAGGCAATATTACACATTAGACCAAGAAATAAATCATGAACAGAATATGTAAGACAACGTTATGAGTAAAACTGCAGAAAATAAATACTCTGAGCAAAAGAATCATGCAGGATAACTGTCTCTATAATGCAGAATCCTTCTTGTGGCTCATGCTCTGGTCTAAGTTTATTTATGATGAAAGAAAAGCTCCAACTTCCCTCAAGTTTTGACAACTGCAGACTAAAGCACCAAAACCTGCTCTTTAATTGGGCTTGAAATAAATTTTGTTTCTACTTGTTGAATTAAAACCACTCTAGGCATTAACACTTCTCAAAGCAGCAAAAGAAACTGAGCTGGGTTCAGCAAGATATACACTTAAAAAATATATATACACCCACACACTACATATACTATTTGTATTATTATGCATGTGTAGATGGATGTGTGTAAATGTACCTAGTGCACACACACATAATTCCTAGAAGAAATGGTATAGCACAAAAATTGCGACAAAATAGTTCTTTAACTGCAACACCAAAGAACTGGTGGTAACTGATTCTTAATGTGTTTTAAATTATGTCTCACTATACACGGAATCTTTAGAATGACTACTGCTTTTATACAAGTCTCCCTTTAACTCTCATATAACGATCTGAGTTTGATTCATTTTAAAAAAGCACAGTTTATCCTTCAATATTAGAGTTTCCATGATCCAACTTCCAATGAAGAAAAAGTGGAATTTATCTCCCCCAACAATTTTTCCTGAAGAAATCTAAATGTTTATATATACCTAAATACAAACCATTCAGATATGGGTAAACTAAAGCATGGTGAATCCCCAAAATCCTGCTCTAAAAACTAAATGTGGAATATACTTTGACATTAAGATTTCAGAATACGGAAAGCTGATCAGCACCTCTCAACTCCAGCCAAAAGCTGGCCCCTCAGCTGTTGCCCTTGTTGCACCCAGATTTATCCCTTCTAGTTCTTACTCTTAACTGCTACTTTTATCATACCCTTTTTTCCCTTAGACTCTTGCTCTAATAAAGCCAAGCAGTTTTAACAATGACCTAAACTTGAAGTAGCTTTCTTTTCTAATTTCGAATGAACTGGCAGGCAGAAAAGGGAATGTTTAGGGGTGCCTGGGTGGCTCAGTGGGTTAAGCCTCTGCCTTTGGCTCAGGTCATGATCCCAGGGTCCTGCGATCAAGCCCCGCATCAGGCTCTCTGCTCTGAGGGGAGCCTGCTTCCTCCCCCCTCTCTCTGCCTGCCTCACTGCCTACTTGTGATCTCTGTCAAATAAATAAGTAAAATCTTAAAAAAAAAAAAAAAAAGAATGTTTATTAAATTAACATCAAAGATACACAAAAGTTTTATGAAATTCCAAATATAACTCCATGCATAATGACTGATGTTGATTTCCTTACAAAATTTTGGGGACTCCTTTATAATAACCAAAGGGAAATTATTACGATGACATTTCACACAATAAGTGTAAAATCTTTAGTGAGTAAAAGAGAAATTCAAAGTCATTCTGAAATCTTTAAAAAACACCTATTCTCCAATACTTTCTAGCAACTTCAATCAATCCTAAGAATATTGTCAGAAATGAAAACAGAGGCCATGTTTTACTAATTCTGGCATTAATTAGGATTATAGTGAAAAGAGACCTTCTTTAAGCTTAAAACTAGGAAGAGTCTTTGCTGAATTTCCACTGAGTACAATGGCTGTAGACCAAGGAATTCTACCGGTTTAGAGTAGTGGTTCTCAAACGTTCGTGTGCAGAATCCGTTTCAGAGGCCTGACAGGATGTTCCCAGTGAAACTGCTAGTTTAAAAGTCATACACTAAGAATCACTGTATGTAAAGTTAAGACCAAGAGGGAAAGGCACTGAAGGAGCTAAGAGGCATGGAACTGAAAATATATATTTGCAATTTTAAAAGCCACATAATTTAAACTCAAATAAACTGACCTTCCATCCATTTTTAAGTAAAAAAAGATTTTACCATCACAACTCTTACTGAAAGAGCACCATCTTGTGGTCAAATAAAAAAACTCACATATAATAAGGCCACTTTTCATTTGGTTGTCATACAGCTCTAACTACATACCACAGATACGAAAAATAACCTTAATAAAATAACTTAGAATACGATAACAGAAGTATAAAAGAAATAAATGCACTTAATGTAACAGGCAGGCAGGATAAGTTACGGTATTCTTTCTCTCTCCAGATATAGACTACAAATTTCAGAAGCCTAAGGAAAAAGAGATTAAAATTAGGCCTATTAAATCAAGACTCATCATAGAAGGAGGGCAAGAACCTAAAAAAAGAGTTATTTTCTTCCCCCAATTTTTACAATCAACAGCAATGCTGGCTACTTTCAAGCAGGTTTTAAAGATGCAAATAAACATCTAGAAAACTTCTTCGTGCTTCAGGGATGTTAAAAAATAATTACTCAACCAAAGAAATTATTTATGGCTGAGCAAGAGAAAGTTCTCTCAGTTCTCACTAAATTTTTGCTTATAGTCAACAAAAGTGAATTCTGGCAAATGTTACATAGTATATAAAATGACTCAATCCTGCATACGTGTTTCAAATGAATGACTGAAGAACAGTATTAGTTTAGATATGATTATTAGCTTCCTCCATTCTCCTAATTTTTTTATCACAATACTTACTCAGACAGAAATTCAGTCTTACCCTTAAGTCTCCTGTTCCGGGAAAGTACTCCCCATATTTATGGAATGATACAGTCATTACACGATCTGTCGTATAAAAAGCTTCTTCAACACCATCACCATGATGGATATCAATATCAATATATAAGACTCTCTGATGATACCTGAAAACAATGCCATCATTTAAGTTTCTAAAAGGTTTTAAAAGATGAAAGAACCACCATGGGTTCAGAAAACCCATTTTTGAGCTCTTGCATTTCAGAACGTTTATCCCCTTTCTTACTTTATTTCCAGCCTAAGAGATCATTCAAATCATTTATTTCCAGCCTAAGAGATCAGAGATGAGAGATCATCTCAAAAGAGATCATACAAGTTTGGCCCTTAGATCTTTAAGTCCTTCTTTTAGCCCCACTCTAGGTAAGAAAATGTATTTACTCTCCCTGGGAAATCTGTCCAATTCTCCAAGTTTTAAAAACATACTACATGTTTCTATATATTAACAACTAAAGATTATACTGTACTTAGAGGATTATTACTTTAAAACATCTCTGTAGTAAATTTTCAGTGTTATAAAACAATAGTTGGTGATCTATTTTATAGCCCAAATCTGACCAACAAAGTCTTTTTGTAAAGCCTTGAGCTAAGAATAGTTTTTATACTTTTAAACCACTGAAAAGTAAAATTAAAACAAGAATATTTCATATGTGACAAGGGAATGGCAAATTTCAGTGTCCATAAATAAAGTGTTACTGAAACATGGCCATGTTTTTTTGTTTACAAATTATCTATGGCTTCTTTTGTGCTTTCAACTGCAAAGTAGAGTAGTTGTGACAGAAACCACATCTGGTACTCTCCTCATTTCCTAGTGCTGCCTGGAGCACTATAAATTGTGATACAATTATAGCTCAAATATATTTTAGGAATCATGTATATCACTACACTGTGACATTTTTTTTTTTACCAGCACATACCCATGTCAAAACAGAGAAAATGAAATGAACTCTGAATGTCATACTTTCATGGCATGGTGAACTGAGGATTATTTTGTTACTAAATTAAATGGCAGAGCTTTTTGTGTTTATTATATAATGATACCACCACTACGTTACAATAATATAATCTGACATTATCAAACTAAGCACACATTCAAATATTCTCAACTCACAGGAAAGCACCATTCAGCAAAGTTATGGGGAAAAAAGAAGAATGTCTCATTATAATAGTCTTTCTTCTCAAAAATAATAAAAAAAGCTGTTAGTCAACCAAGTGGTTTGTTTATAAGTGGCTTATCAACAGTCAATTAAATTATGACCGTTCATACCAGTTAAAGAAATCTGTCTATACAAATTAAATTAAAACCTGTTTAAGGCTCTAAGCATGTAAGCAAAACCACTGCCCAGAGATGAAGACACAAGAACCAAAATCAACAGGGAATTAAAAACCAAGGCAAATAATTTCAAGTGGTTTTCCTTGGCTCTGAATGAGTTAAATGAAACATTTTAGTTCTTTATCTGAGGAGTCAATACCAAATTTTAAATGACTGAAAAAGCAGCCTCTATAAACAGTGTGCATGGAATTACTACAGCCAAGAACATTTTGAAACAGAAAAAACTTAATTCACTATAATCTGAAGTGGCATCTGCTAAGACATGTTACAACTGATCATGGTTAAAAAAAAAAAAAAAAACAAAGAAAAACAAACAAACAAAAAAACCCTGTAAATTTCCAAATTTTTAAGTCCCTCTATGGATATCTCTCTCAAACCGCAGTCAAGGATAACTTTACCTCTAATTCCTTTAGTTATTTAGAGACAATTATATCCATTAGTAGAGAACAAAGCCTCATTCCATGTGGAAACTAGGCAATTAGCTAGACTCATTCCATGAATAAATCTGGTTTCAAATTTTTGCCTTCACAAGTTAAAACTTATAAAATGTTAGAACATAAACTTTCAGGGTCCTGTCATCTTTCATTAGTTGAAACTGTAACTCAAAATCTTAATCTCCAAACTATTTTTGGTTTTTTTTTTAAAAGGATATTTAATGGGAATTTTAAACATGTATATGCATTTCTCATTATTAATCCAAGGAATGGGGAAATGTCCTGTATTTCTACAATGGTTTGTAATGAAGAAGGCTCATCTCTGAACTATTTTTAATAGATTTCATAGATTTCTATGGTTTTAATTAAAACTTTTTCATAAGAAAAATATCGACATAAATTAACTTACTTTAGTAATTCAAGGATGGCAAGTACAATATCATTAACGTAACAGAATCCCGATGCTTCTGACTTCTTAGCATGGTGTAACCCTCCAGCCCAGTTAACGGCCATATCAGTTTGTTGTCGATTTAACTTCACGGCCCCAGCTGAGAGACAAGACAGGAAGTTTAAAGTAAGAAGTTAATACAATTAGACAAAAGTCCTATAGGAAAGAGAATGCCATGTACAAGTAAAAGAGTTTAAAATTACAGAAAGATAAGCCTCATCATCTGGGACACTGACAGGTTTTTTCTTAAATGTATTCCTATAGCTGTGTTCTGATTTAAATGAGAGAGAGTATATACAGAAACTGGTAGCTGGAAGAGATATAGAGAGAAATCTCTACGTGAAAATACAACAGAAACAAGAAACAAAAAGTTCAAGTCATTATGATCATAAAACATGGGGTTTATTTATTTTTAAAGAAAGAAGGTAACTACTTTTATTATTTTTTTAAAAGTGAGCTCTACACCCAGCGTGAGGCTTGACCTCACAACTCCCAAATCAAGTCACGTTCTCTACCAGCTGAGCCAGTCACGTGCCCCAAACGTGGATTTTTAAAGACAACTGTACTACTATAAACATACAGGCTACTTTTTGCTTTCAAAATCCACTACCACCAGAAACCTCTGCTTTAAACAAATAACCCAAAAGTTACATACCAAATTTAAATCAATTTTTAGAACTGAATCAGGACACTTACCAACCGAACCACCAGTTGAGAGCTGACAAAACTCAAAGAGTCCATCAAATACTGGACAATCCTCTCCAACATTAACTGTGAAAGACAGGTTTCAGTTAGAATCCACTCTATGAATTAAAGATTTCCTTCCAAATACTACTTCTTACAAACATTTTTATATTTGATAGAAAAAACATCATAGAAGAAATCTAAACTTTGATATTTAAAAATAATTTGTCATTTTACCCAAGGTAATTAAAGTGTTACCTATGAAACACCACCACCAAATCTTACCAGGATTATTTGTAAAACATCTTTGCTCTATTACTAAAAAAATTAATAGCCATCAAAATATAAAAGGCATTTGATTTATTTAATTAAAACATACACTTAAATTTTAGGCATTTCTCCTTAAATATACAATAAATTAATCAGGATTCTAAAAAATTTAAGCAAGTTTAATCCCTTTACGGTTTACTTTCTCAAAAATCCCTAAATGCACAGAACATCCATTAACTTTGAAATGTATTTTAATGAGTACTAAAAAAATAAAGCAGCTGATTGCCTACCCAATCTTAAAGGATGGTAAGAATTAACTAGGTTCGTAACAGCCAAGACATAGAAGGAAGGGGTATATAAAGCACAATGAAAAAACACGTACAGATCCATGACACAGTTCCTTAGTACTGACAGGATAAAAGGGACTTATTATGTACATGACCCATTCTCAGCCTCTTCCCACCCCCAATTATAACCTTTTAAAAAATAAGGGTAATTATTTTACATAGCTTTTTATACTCATAATTTATTAGCACTATAACAAATGCATTTGAGTTTCTTACTGCTCAGATATAATCTTAGTATAATTATGTAGTAAATCAATCCTGTTAATTCATTTGCCCAATCTACCCATAACTTTTAATTTAAGCCTGATTCGCCATCAAAAAACCAGGGACAAATAATATGTTCGATTTACATTATAGCATTTTACTGAGTAAATGAAATAATCGATAGTAGAAATGCATACAAAGTTCTACAAATGTTAACAATGTCTAGTAACTACACTTTAGTATTATTAAAACTGTTCTTTTTAAAAAAATCATCACTGAAGACTATAGAAGTTTACTCTACAAAACAGAAACACTGATGAGAATGAACTTTAGTATCAAGCTTTCAAAAACTCTGTTCCAAACATTTTAGATGACACTTTGCATTCCACTTTCAAGCCAACCACTGCTAATAATAAAATACTTTTTATCTATATAAAAGAGAATACTATATAGAAGAAAATCAAAAGCTTCACTCACAAAGGGAAGGAACAGATTACATATTACAATCCACATTAACTAAAGCACACAAATAGAAGATGAGAAATCTATACACCAGGCTAAGGCCAATCGAAGTATAATTACTTTTTTTTTTTTTTTTTTTTAAAAGCAGGTGAGTAAGGTCTCCCCACCAATATCCATTATCCCAAAGTTAGAAAGGGACAAAAACAAAGAATAGAGGAACATCCAAATAGCTTTTTGGCAGTTTGGCAGACCAATAGGCTTCAGGTAGATTTTGTTTTTTAAAGATTTTATTTCTTTATTTATTTGAGGGAAAGAGAAAATCTCAGGTTGACTCTGTGCTGAGTGCAGAGCCTGATGCAGGGCTCTATCTCAAGACCCTGAGGATCATGACCTGAGGTGAAATCAAGAGTCAGACGCTTAACCAACTGAGCAGCGCAAGCACCCCCCCTTTTTTTGTTATTTAAAATAGCTCTGAGGGGCGCACCTAGGTAGCTCAGTTGGTTAAGCGTCTGCCTTCAGCTCAGGGTCCTGGGATCGAGCCCTGCATCAAGGCTTCCTGCTCAGCAGGAAATGCCTGCTGCTCCCTTTGCCTGTACTCTCTCTTATCTGTCAAATAAATAAATAAAATCTTTAAAAATTTTTTTTTAAAAGATAAAGTAGCTTTAATATTTTTACACTGACTTTTCAAACCAACTAATTTAAAAAAGTATTTTAGATCAGGCAGAATTCCTAGATTTGGATAACTCTAATTATATGCTTCTAAAAATACTCATTTATACTTATAAATACTAATATATACTTTTGACACAGAAACGTACATCTCTGCATCTGCTTACTATACTCAGACATGTTATCCGGTCTTATTGAACGTAGAAATTTGATGTACTCATCACTGTGGTATTTTGTCATTTCTTCAGCAGTGGCTTTATGGGGCCTCTGTGAAGAAAAACATATGTCAGAATTGTGGAACTACAACTGGTTATATCAGAGTTACCAACACAAAGTATACGATTTCCCCTAACAGTCCTCTCAAAAGAACTAGGTCTGCCAGAACAAAATAAATTCCAAAGCTAATCCAAATTTATACATATGTTTTAGAAAACAGTAATCAATTCCAAAGCTAATTCCTACTCCTTTAAAAGCATTACACAGGTCTGACTCCAACTATATATTACTCCTACTATTTTAGCAGAAATTGGTCAACACTTACAAAGTTGAATCTGTGTTCAGAAACTACTTTCACTTTTCCCATCATAAACCTGTTCTATATCCAGTGAGAATGAAATTCATTCTCAATTATAAGTCTTTGTCCACAATCACTCCTTCTTTCCTTTGTCTATCCTAATTATTCTTGTTCCCAAGAGCTCAATTTCATTTATGACATACTTCTCCCAGATTCCCAGGAAGATTTATCCAAATCCTCTTCTGTAAATGTTTATATTTGAAAGAAAGTAACTCATTGACACCCAGTACTGCTAACTGCTTCAAGTCTTTTCTCTTGTTGTGTTTAAAAAAACAAACAAAAAAACAAAACAGGGAAGTTAAGGTCTCCCCACCAATATCCATTATCCATCCTCCCAAAGTTAATATATAATTCCATCAGTGCAAAAACATTTAAGGTGATTGTATCCTAAATGTTAACTGTACTGTGCATGATCACTAACACATTGTTCCATATGCCAATAAGTATTTGTAGAATTTTCTACATAGTTCTTTCTCGTAATCACTACCCAGGTCAACTCTTCAGGAGCACAGCCAGATCAACCACTACTTTAACAAAGATATTTAGTATGCTAAACTGAGCTGGTTCTCTAGAATGTGAGAAGATGAGGTATGAGAAACTTTTAAAAAATGGTTGAGGAAGAGGGACAAGAGAGGTCATAGCTCCCACACTCTCAGTTTCCTCTGAAGAGTAAAACAAAAAGAGGATTTTCTGTTTTCTTCTAGAAAACATCATGTGCTACATGCCCTTCAAAAGGAGTAAGAAACAAGTTTCAAAGCAGATTAAGAAAAAAAAAAAACAAACCACTGCTGTGTATTTATCAAAAGGTATACTC